GTTTTTCCCAAATTTTTTGGAAGGATAACCTACCGAAACCTATCACTTGCTTAGCCCTTGTTTTACACCATTCAATTTTCAGGAAATTTGAAATTTGTTGCTTTAGCCATGAGTTCAGTGTAGCATCGCCATTCAAGTCATGAGGAACTGACAAACTCAATACTATAAGCATCAGAAGCATAATACATTTGAGTGCTGTACAGCAATAGTGTACACTCACCTTGTATTATTGCAAAGCTCTTTACAATGATAGCTCTGCCTCCTAGATGACGTGGTTCTAGAGCTGCATGTTCCCTGCTGCTGCCCTCGCCATAGTTCTCATCTCCTTCTACAACCCATGAAAGTCCATTGGCCTGTATCAAAAGAGCAGCATGTTTGAAACTCTTAATTTCACATGTAATGTATGCATTAAAAATATGTTATTTACAATGTCCAAGACAACAAATGCATATGTATCAGGCTCCTGGTGACATTTTGTTACTTTGAAACTGGAAAGGGGTTCACTCTAACCCCCTTGGCTACAGGCTTGTGGTACACCATCATACTCTCCAGTCAGATTATTACTACTTTTCAACTATCAATTTTACTACCTCCAACCAAAACCTGTGAAGTTCATTTGCCTGCAGGAAATACAAAAGGCATGAACATATCTTATATATTTCAACAATTTAAATAGAAGACTATACTAACCCTATGAGTAAATTGTTTGATATGTTGTCAAGATGTCCTCTGTATTTCAACAAACACAGCATAGAAATACTGTATATCATTATGTTTGGATAACTGAAATACAAACAGATATTTTAGTGACATTCTGGTACATTACAAAGGCAACACGATTAAACATCACAGCTTCTAACAAATTATTTTCTAAGAACTATTGGTAATGATTTGTAATACTGATCGGGATCTACTACACTGATGAGCTTACATTATCAGCCACTAGTCATGCCCCATTACCCTCATTTACAATACATTAATAACTGTAAACTAAGGAAACATGTACTGATCATTAAGTCACAGCACTTCTTGTGATTTGTCTTTGACCTATGACTACTGACCTATACCGGCGATTACTAGAGTGCTGCTAACTCGATAAAAGGCTGGCGCTGGCTAGAATTGTCTATGGTTCTAGCCATGATAAAGATACCAGTTCTTCAACTCGACAATGGGAAGAACTGCTCTACCATAGTGACTAATATGTCATGATATGACATCTAAAGAGTCAATAAAAGATATACATATACTGATCATTAAGTAAATACCTTGATTAGAATACCCACAATTATCTTCCAGATCTTTGCCAGACCATTTCTCAAATGGTGTCAGTAGTTGTAGACGCTTACTTTCAGGGGATACGTCCACTTGGAGACTAGAGCCCTCTGCTGGTGGTTCCTGGTATGTGTCCTGACCTGGAAGGTTGTCACCATATGGTGCGCCTAGCATAAACTTGGAACCTAAATAAATATGTTCATCACCATATGGTGTGTCTTCTAGCATAAACTTTGAACCTAGATAAATATTAGGTAGTAAGCTAGCACCCAAAAATGTATTAGTTTGTGAACAAATTGAAATTCTTATGTATTTTTATGTGATACTTCAGAAAATTTTTGTCTGACGCGCCATATCCGGGGCGAACATTGTCAAATTGGGGTTTTCGACCCTAAAATGGAAAACTACAGGGGGTACTTTATCATCATTGAATAAATCATTCAGTTGGTCTTCAATCATCATGATAATTATGCTGAGAATTGATGAGATCGTTTTGAGGTAAATATAGTCTAATTGATTTCACATCAACAACTGAATACTTCAGTAGTATGTTTCAAGATTGTGGAAACCACAATTTTTGTTCAAAATATCCTTAATTTTGGCAAAACCTGAACATGTACATCATGTAGAATATGGATTTTTTCACGAATTCGGATCAATAGATATCAGAACATTTTAGCACACTCAAAATAACCAGTACAGATCAAACATTTAAATTTTCCAAACTTTAATACTGATAGAAGTAAAGGTCCCAGCCTCGTTTTGGTTTTCAAAATCTTGTAGAATCTGCGATTTGGGGGATGCATTGAATGATACGTTTAGAAGCTTATATTTCTTTTAAAATATTCAAATTGATTTGAATAATCATCTTCAATTTCCTCCCGATAATCGATCCATTATAGATAAATTAATCGAAACAAGCATTCAAGTGTTTTAGGATACAAAAACAAAACAGAACAGATGTATGATAATTAGAGGTTATGTCACTATCGTTGCATATATGCCCGAGAGTTTCAGTGATAAACATGTTGGCCCGACCTTGGGAGGGACATTGATCACTGAGAACCGAGGGCATATGTGCAACTATAGTGACATAAACGATTTATAACATACCTATGATGATCTAGTCTGATCAGAAAGTACTGTTTTCTTATCTAATTGTCTAGCTATGGTTCGGAAATGATGATTTATCCCCATGTTTGTATCTTACGAGTCAATTTGACCTGGGCCTAATGTATGACGTAGTTCCAGCGCTTGACCAATGAGAAAGTTAGCAGGCGCGGGCTTTTCAAAAGTTATATTGACCCGCTGTCTTGTGAACACTCTACACTATACCTCATCATAGATATGTTATAATGATAATTATTGACCTATGATAAACATACCATTATGGGCAGTGAGTTCATCTATGAGTGGGCTGGTGATGTCACAAATGTATGAGTGGCAAATTTGGCATCATTGCGACAAGTTAAGTTCCTGTTATATCACCCTTCTTGACATCACGTTTGTCAAGCACCATACCAACTGCCTCTCCAAGAACAACTGCCTACAATAAAGAAACAAACATATGGGCCATCATTGTAAATTCAAAGCCACATCTGATTCATAGTATTTCAGCTAATCTAAATCTAAATTCCTAAGTTTATCAACATGGAAAAAGATGATTATGACATATCACACAAACATAGCTGCAACAAATGACTTGTGTTTGCTTAAAAAGGTTAAGACGCTTGATCATTATGTTCAAGAGATGTTTGTTAAACTGATTCAATAATTTTGTAAAATGAGTTATTATTGTCCATACACGGTCTGCTCTGTCTTAAGAAACAAGCCATATGCATATGAACAGCTCAAAGTATTGCTTTGATTTTTCCAGACATACATGTACCTGTCCATCTCTTTCAATGATAGCTCTGATCTGTTCTGAGCCAGGTGTGATTGTGAATGCAGCCTTGGCCTTGACACCTTTATCCAAACACTGCTTGGCTATAGCTGCAGATCTGCTCATTTCTTCATAACTGCTGTTGGTACAACTTCCAATCAGACCTAAACATTAAAATCAATAGAGTTAGCATTACAGAATTCAAATTTTTATATGTACTCAAAAGATTGTATGAAATTTTCAAAATGAAATTACTTTATTATTTACAGGTTGAGCCAAAAAATGTAACCCTAACGAATCTTAATAACTCAGTCATCCAGTATGGGCATTGAGTCATATTTGGCACAACTGACCCTTGTTCAATGTACTTTCATTCTTTTAAGTTTCATTTTTCTACTCAAAAGGTTATGATTTTATGGCCATTTTACAAAACATGCTCCAAATGCCAAAACATACCAAAACCACACAATATGAATCGCCAAAATTTTACCTTTGGGGCTATTTCAAATATAATGTGTACATTAAAAACTCTTAGAAGCATCAGAGAGTTGAAACAAGATATTAGAAGGGAAATGAGAGCCTTTACACAAGATATTTGTGAGCGTGTAGTCAGAAAACTTCACCCGATGTGTTAAATTTGATTCAAAACACAAGACTGTCATTTTGAGGATGTTTTTTAAAATGGCTATAAAATCATGACCACTTTGAGTGGACCCATGAAACTTAGTAAAATGAAAAACATTGAACAAGGGTAACTTTTGCCAAATATGATTTTAACCCCATACTGGATAAGGAAGTTATAAAGATTCGTTTGGGTTACATTTTTTGGCTCGCCCTGTACTTGGGTGGTTCTGTCAGATTTCAATGTTATTTCGCAATCTTATTGTATCTTAAGACAGAATTAATTCAATATTCAGGAAGTTCATATAAACTTCCTACATAGATACCATGTGGGGTAACTCTCAAAATATTTCTACACAAGCTGTAACATTGAAATGAAGTTGCTACATACCAACTTTGATGTCCAAAGGCCAGTCATTCTTCTTGGTTCTGTCTCCAAGCTTCTGTATGGGATGTGGAAAGTCAGAAGTGAATGGACCATTGACACGGGGCTCAAACTGGAATACAGAAAATAGCAATTCGAAATTTGAATTGTTCCATTATTTATAATATGGCAACTGGCACAGATGCTTTATTTTTTCAACCATACTATTAAAAGTTATGAAATTAAAACTGATATTACAACACAAACAGATAATAATTAAATAAAAACACAGAATTAAACTCCGTGCCAAGAACTGATGGCCAAGAACTGATGAAAAGTCAGTCCACCCCAGTAGGGATTGAACCTACTATCCCAGATACATAAGTACCTACGACTACACAATACTTCAGGCTTTGGCATTCTATCCATGAATTAATCTATAACAGATGTGCTCACTTTATTATGCCTAACTCACTCAGATTTATCTCAATAAGCTGATCATATTAACATCATTTATCTGCAGCAAGGAGATCTTGCCTCACATCATCAGCAGTCTCACCTATACCTGCAGCCAATACACATTCAATTTAACTAAAATTATTTTATGTCTATGTTAATATTACATCCTTCTCACAGGACAGATTGCTATAAAGTAATAATATAAAAAGGATTGGACAGAAGGGTTATGCCTATGGTAAGCCTCTCCAAGTGAATAGCAATGCTTTAAATGCCCCATATAAACTTATATCATAGTCTTATCATGAAAAAGTAATATTTGAATGATTAAACTATATGTCAAACTTTGCATGGTGCCTTTAACCATGTCTTACTCCAAAGATTAGAGAACAATGGACATGATTAACTTTTGAAAGACTATCTTGAAACTAGACAACAGCAACGCCAAAGCATAGCAAATCCCATTGAACAGTCATGGCTGGCATACTAACAAACAAAGAATATAGCAAAAATAATGGCGACCTTCTACCAAAAGTGTCATTAGACAGTGTGCCATGCTTATAGTATTCACATACCAAATATGAACAAAATCGCTCCACTACTTTTCGAGTTATAGTAAAATATGTTAAAATGGCGGCCATTTTTCAAAATGGCCGCCTTCTACCAAAAGTGGCATTAGACAGTGTGCCATGCTTATTGTATTCACATACCAAATATGAACAAAATTGCTCCACTACTTTTCCAGTTATAGTAAAATACGTTAAAATGGCAGCCATTTTTCAAAATGGCCACCTTCTACCAAAAGTGTCATTAGACAGTGTGCCATGCTTATAGTATTCACATACCAAATATGAACAAAATCACTCGACTACTTTTCGAGTTACAGCAAAAATCATAAAATAACGAGTAAAGGCCCCCTTTTACAAGATGGCTGCCATGTGCTTCTTTAATATTTACATTTCTAGCTTTATTAATGTCCTTTATAACTTTTTACATATAAAACATATTGCTATTACAGTTTTACATATTGCACCTAAATAACTGTAAAATCGGCATTAAAATGGCCATCATTTTTAAATGAGCGGCCATTTTCAAATGAGCGGCCATTTTGAAAATCGGCTTTCGAGCAGAACTTTTAAAACCATAGGGTATATGTGTACAAAATATGAACAAAATCGGGTCAACTGTATTTGAGTTATTGCCTGGACGGACATATGTACGTACGTACGTATGGACGGATGGACGGACGGACAGGCAGACGGATGGAGGTGTTCCCTATATCCCTCCGAACTTTGTTCGATGGGATAGTAAATGTATATTGACAGTATACATTATACATTTTTCACCATGTTTGGTCAGTCATCGGTGAGGGTATAACAAATACATGTATACCTGATCTGTTGGTGGCATCAAAATATGCTTTCATACAGTGGTTGTACGGAAACAAAGATGTTGCAGCACCTATTTCAGCTCCCATGTTCCATATTGTATCCATACCTAAACAGTAATAAACACATGTATAAAGGTTGATTGCCCGGAAATATTTACACAATTGAACATGTTGAACAACTAATATACATACTTTTTGTGGCTTGGTTGAATGGCTATGAATCCCAAGTTCCGATGTGTCTCATCAAGAAGACAATAGAGTGACAGAGATTATGTCAAGCCGAGTTTATAATTTTTGTGCGAATTTTCTTCTTGGATCGAACAATTTCATTTTAATTTGATTAACTTATATTACGATAGGTGGCAAAAGGTCTCAAGGTAGGTCAAGTGACACAAAACAACAGATCATATGACTGCTCAGCTTCAATTTTGCTCTTGCAGTCGAAACTGAAACTTCTTTCATCGATATCTAGGTAATTTTTTCAGCCTCCAGTATTTTGACAAAAGTAAGTTCAGGTCGTAGCCATTCTTCGAGGCACATTTGAGGCACCAACGATTTTTTGAGTTTTT